TGGGCTTAACGTTTACATGAGAATGAGTTTACAATAATACTTGTAGTTCATGTTAAGGGGTTTAAAATGTTATTCAATTGACTGGGGCCTCACTTGGAAATGATAGCTCAAGTGTTTAGGTATTTTGTGAAATAAATGAAAGATTATAAATTTGTTTTGATACTTAATAAATGTTACATTAAATAACAAAAAAAGAAAAAAAGGAGGATTTTTTTCAGCTATTACAACAAAAACTAATTTTGATTTAGTTTAAAATAAAAACAAAAATATGCTAAAATAAAATAAAAGAATAACAAAAACACAACCAAATGGCACATTTATACTTTGAAGATCTTTATAAAGTGTAATTTTCCATTTTAATATATTTTTTCAAAGTGTTAACATTGCTAATAGTGTAAAATTTCAAATATCTTCAAAATGTTGAGAAGGTTATATCTTTAGGATGAGTGCTATTTGGAGTATTTGACAGGATAGATGTTTAAGAGGGCATGAATTCTCCTCTCCTTTGCAGTCTTTTTCTGTCAGACAGAGAAGAGATTTGCAGAGTGATTTGTGGGAAGAACAGCCATCCCCGAACCTTTGATCCACAGAGAGAAGAGGAATCTGTCAGATCAGTGCAATGAAGGGCAGCAGAACAGATGTATGATCATGATGGGTATATTTAGGAAAACATTAGTTTTTGTTCTGTTAATGTATAGCATAAATATACTGAAATAATGAAGCACAAGGCAAGTCACAAATCACATTCACGACAGCAGACACACACTCACAACCTGATGTCACACCTCTGTACAAACCTCACACCCACAAGTGTGTTGTGCCATAAACACAGATTGTATTTATCTTTACTTATTTGAGTTAAACAGCTGTCACACTTAGACACATTGTGTCAGTTTTTGTTAGTTGAACAGTTGTTAAATGTCCCTAGTGACTTATGATCTTAGAGAAGGAAGGACCAAGAGTTTTCAAGAGTTTTTGCAAAAGCTGTTTAACTGGCCAGTAACATTGGATACATTTCAAAAATAGCATGACTTATTGAACTCATTCACTGTCAATATCAAGTCAATCTTGTCAATATTTGATTATCCTTAAATTTGGAAACAATAAATAACATAATCCATTATAAAAAGGAGTCTACAACGAAGACTGTATATCTGCTTCTGTTGGGTAATCTGTGTGGAATGTCATAAAACTTTAATGGATTAATCAATACAGTGATCTTAAATGTCATTAGATATAAACTGTTTTATATTTAAAATTTTTTATTTATTTATTTTTTTTGCCATGTTTTGCTTTGTGATAGGATGGTAGTATTTGAAAAGAGAAAGGAGGGCATGAGATTGGGAAAGGTTCGCAAGCCAGGATTGGAATTCGAAGCTCAGTTGCATTATATGTCAGCTAAATTCAGAATTATTCGAGCCCCTGAATTATTAGCCCCCCTGTTTATTTTTTTTCTCAATTTCTGTTTAACAGAGAGAAGATTTCTTTAACACATTTCTAGACATAATAGTTTTAATATCTCATTTCTAATAACTGATTTCTTTTATCTTTGCCATAATGAGTTCATAATTTTGACTAGATATTTTTCAAGACTTTTCTATACAGCTAAAAGTGACATTTAAAGGCTTAACTAGATTAATTAAGTTAACTAGGCAGGTTAGGGTAATTAGTCAAGTTATTGTATAGTGATGGTTTGTTTTGTAGAGAATCGAAAAAAATGTAGCGTAAAGTGGCTAATCATTTTGAACTTAAAATTTTTCTTAAAAAATTTAAAACTGCTTTTAATCTAGCCAACATAAAACAAATATAAGAACATTTCCTTGCTCTGTTAAACATCATTTGGAAAATATTTAAAAAATAAAACAAAATTAAAAGGGGGGCTAATAATTCTAATGTCAACTATATATATGTTATTACCCCCAGATTTTTGAGGGGTAGTATATTTTTGAGATTGTAAATGTTCTGGATCTGTAAGTTGGGATAATGGAGGGGGTGAAGCAGAGCCATGGTTGGGGAATTTGGGTGGGGTGTCCCCATCAGGCTGGAATTCTATGAAGGGGCATAGGAATGTGGAGAATGACTGTCATGAAATGGGCCTGAGGGTCAGAGGACAGGACGGGTTAAAAGGACACCTGCTGGACCACTGTCAAAGCAGGCCAGGGCTCGAGTCTTCTCACTCACGTTTATTTCTGCCTCTAAACAGAAATTAACTTTCTGCGTAATTGCATTGCTCACATATTTTCGTACAGGTCCACAAGAGAGTTCATTGTGATTCTTATTACTGTTCTATTATTAAACTAGTCTGAGGCCTAATTGACCTTTAACTTAATAGAACTGCTGCTCGGAGTGGAAAGTCTTTCTTATACGATGCGTCACAATGTCTGTGATTCCGGTTTTCTCCTTTAATGGAATCCAGAAGCCAGGCAGACAGTAGTAAAGAGTGGAAAAACTCCTAGATCGACTATTTCTAAGAATGGTGATAAGAATTTATTACATTTGGATCTGTAGTTACCAGAGCAGAGAGTACTTTTTTAGATTACAGCAGTGTCCAGCAATGCGAACTGAATCCAAATTGTGACTGACAGCACACGGTTGTGATTCGGTTCTACCATCACTGAAGTATGTATTGTCCTTGAGGGAATTGTGAATGCTCGGTTATGTGGATAAACCATGCAAATTCCTCAGCCAGTCAAAAGGTTCAGCTGTCTAAATATTTCTAAGACGTCATTTCGTCTTCAAGGAGGTCAGTGTTACTTTGTATTTTAATGTAGTTAATGTGGGAACAATATGAAGGTTGGAATTAAAACCACACATTATGACAAATCCAATATCAAATATTGGTCTTCTGAGTTCCTCTCCTGCATCTGTTTTAAAACTCTAAATACACAAGAGCAGTGACAATATATTTAGATGGTTCACAGCTCCTTTACTGGATCTGATCCAGGGAGTGTCACGTTTCAGGATTAAAACAGGAACAAAACGGGTGTAGAATCCAAGTGCAGATCTTTAATGTTAAAGTGCAGCAACAGTGACAAAATCCAAAAATCCAAGTAACAAATTAACAAAATAAACAAACGAGCAACTCAAACAGATTAAACTGGGACTAGACTTTAACACTAAGACAAGATACAAGAGCAAGAGCTAGATCAAGATCAGGAACAACATACCAACAATGACAACGACCAACTGACAAACAGAGGATGAATGACTGAATATATAGTCCAGGTAATCACAGAGAACGGAGACAGCTGTGGTTGTAAATCAGTGTAGATGAGAGACCAGGTGTGTGTGCGAAAGAATGTATGGAAATGTAGTTCTAAAGCCACTGTAGTCCGCTGGGGGTTGCTGGCGAACTACAGTGGCATCTGGTGGACAAACACAGTTATGACAGGGAGACTCAGTGTGCACACGTGTTATTATCTGTAAAGGTGATCACTTCTCAAAAGTCATTCATTCATTCATTTTCTTTTCGGCTTAGTCCTTTTATTAATCAGAGATCGCTTATCCAGCATATGTTTTACGCAGCGGATGCCCATCCAGCTGCAACCCATCTCTGGGAAACACATAAACACTCTCATTCACACACATACACTATGGTCAATTTCATTCATTCATTCGGCGTAGTCCCTTTATTAATCTGGGGTCGCCTCAGCGGAATGAACCGTCAACTTATCCGAAGGCGAACGTGCTACCCACAGCGCCACTGCATCGCCTATGGTCAATTTAGCTTACCCAATTCACTTATAGCGCATGTCTTTAGACTTGTGGGGGGAAAAGGAGAACCCGCAGGAAACCCACACGAACACAGGGAGAACATGCAAACTCTACACAGAAATGCTAACTGAACCAGCCGAGGCTCAAAACATTGTCCTTCTTACTGTGAGGTGATCATGCTACCCACTGCGCCACTGTGAAAGTTATTTTGACAACAGTAATTCATATTTTGAGATTTTGATTTAAATCTGATCTCAGACCGAAAGCTCGACATCTCCATTTTTATAGTCTCTGCCATCTGGTCGCGTGAGGATATCAGTTCAGTGTATTGTTCTCTAGCGAAGATTGCTCAGCGCAACTGTTGCTTGTAGCTCTAGCAGCTGCTTCCATGCTAGCTTGCTATAGGTTGGAACTATCAAACCACGTCAGTCTTGTCATCATTTTTTTTCCGAACTTTTGCTTGCCATTTAATACAAATCAGTTAATCTTAGATGACGGATTTTAGTGGAGACAAATGTGTCTTTTTTTCAAAGTACATTCGCGTGTGTTTACTGTCATCATGGCAAAGATAAAATCATACATTTATTAGAAATGAGTTATTAAAACTAATGTATGTTTAGAAATGTGTTGAAAAAATAAACGGGGGGCTAATAATTTAGGGGGGGCTTATAATTCTGATTTTAACTGTATTTATGTAAAAAAATAAAAAGCTTACTTTTTAGCATTTTCCTAAACTCCAAAACATCATATTGAATTGAGTTCAGATTTTTTTTATGATGCCAAAGAAGCAGTCTTTAGGCCAATATTTAAAATAGTTCATTGTTATTTAAACTGTAATAATAATAATATAACTATATTGTGGTCAAATAACAGCTGGTGGTTATCATGGTTGCTTCACAGCAAAACGGTTGCTGGTTAGTTTGTGTGTTTCAGATGAAAGGGCATCTGCTGTATAAAACAATTTCCAGATTAATTGGTGCTTCATTCTGCTGCGGCGACCCCTGATAATGCAGGCAATAAGCTAGAGTGAGTGAGTGAGTGAGTGAGTGAGTGAGTGAGTGTGGTCAAGTAATTAATAAGAATACTGACTTTTGTTTTAAAAATAATAATAAAAAATGTAAGGAACCCTACTTAATTTAATTATGACGTTAAATTGTACATTGTAATGTGAATATTTTTTAATACTTATATGACCAAATTCTAACTCATACCTACACTCAATAAGTCTGCTGAAAACATTATAATCCAGTTCACAAACCTTCATCTTTCTCTTACTTTCTTTTTAGCCTCTTCAGAAGAATGGACAGATCTCTATTTCCAGTCTTAATGGGAAAACGGATGATCAGACAGAGTATAATGGCCACACCGAGGAGAACCCTCCGGCTGAGGGTATGTGCTATAATCCACATGTGGGTCTGTACATTGTGTGCAAACATATCTATATCAGTCTCATATCTTTATTACTGTGTCCGTGTGCATGCTATGACAGTGACTGACACTAATAGTGGTCCACCTCCCAGCGTCAGGGCTCTGTGTGTGTGTGAGGCTTAAGTTGTGATCTTTATCTTTTTATCTGTGTGCCCTCATACCCCGACTGATCCCTCTCATAATCCCACACTATCCTAGAGAAGGGAACACCTACATAGAGGCTACAGTGAGTGGACACCAACATAGACCTCTCCTTACACGCTAAGGAAAACCCTACAGCCATAATCCATAGTGTGTTTATTTTTATTCGCTTTTTGCATTCTTTTCTTCCTTTTCAACTCCGAGAGACCACCGAGAAGCTGCCCCCCAATAATATTTAGAAAGACATGACCTAACTGACCTCTTTAAGAGACCAGTGCATGTTTTAATAAGCTATAGTCTCTTTGCATGTGTAGAAATCTGAGGTGTGTTTTATTTTGAAGGTCAAATAGCCTGATTTGTTTTTGTCAGATGGATTTTGTAACTAGCAAACTGAAAATGGGAAGCCATGATGCTTTATTGATATTCAAACGATAACTCTGTGCAAAACTAAGATGAGGAAACTGCTAAAATAGGATAAGGAAGTTGTATTAGCATTTGACGTCTGTAAAAAAGCATTGAAAATGTTAAATTATTCAAGGTTAGTATTTATGGGTAATGGAATAGTTCAAGCAGTATTTAGTACTTAGTATTTAGCAACTTTGGTTAAAATAACAGTCCACTTTTTCGTAAATAGTCTTGTTGTACAAGTTACCTTGAGTTAAACAGCTAAGTTTTACCATTTTTAAACCCTTCAGTTGATATCAGGGTTTGGCAAAAGCGTTTTTAGCTTAGCTTAGCATAAATCATTAAATCAGATTAGACCATTAGCAGTTTTTCCTACATAACTTTTACAACATAACTTCCTAAAACTTCCTAAAACTTTTTTCTGTAGTTACATCATGTAAGACCAGCAGAAAATGTGTTATTTTCTAGATCAATATGGCTAGCAACTTTACCTTCATTCTGGCTTAATTATCAATTAACTTTGCTGCCATATTATGGCTGCAGCAAACCCAGTGACATTATGTATAGCAACAACATTTAGTGTTGGTAAGTAGTTACTAGGGGTCCAACAATACAGAATTCTTACGGTTATAGTGTCTGTACGGGGGTGACACGGTGGTTCAGAAGGTCTGTGGTCACCTCACAGCAATAAGGTTGCAGGTTCGAGTTCCGGCTAGGTCAGTTGGCATTTCAGTGTGGAGTTTGCAGGTTCTCCCCGTGTTTGTGTGGGTTTCCTCCGGGTGCTCTGATTTACCCCACAGTCCAAAGACATGCACTATAGGTAAATTGAATTAACTAAAATGACCGTAGTGTATGTGTGTGAATGAATGTGTTTGGATCTTTCCCAGTACTGGGTTGCAGCTGGAAGGGCATCCGCTGTGTAAAACATGTGCTGGATAAGTTGGCGGTTCATTCCGCTGTGGCGACCTCTTATGAATAAAGGGAGTAAGCCGAGGGAAAATGTTTAGAAAACTTTTTAACACTAAGTGAATTGTGAAATTAGTCTATTTACAAAAAAAGTGGAGTTTTTCTTTAAAAAGGAGACCAAATGTCTGCTGTAATTGTATGATGTTCTTGAGAGTCAAACTTTTCACAACTTTTCACAAATCACACATTGTTGTTTCTCTCATAAACGTTTTTTACTTTTTGTCTCAAAGCATATAAAAGCAGAAAACAAATGAAACATTTATTGAGTGAGAAACCAGTGGACAACAAACGAGATTATAGTCTCTTTAAAATAAATTGTCTGTGCCACATCTGATAGTGTAGACATATTTACAGACAAATAAAAATGGTTCCTTATTGTTGTGGCTGTAGATTCAATGAGATGTTATGTATAAAACTCTCACCCCTGACAATACCAGGACAAGCCCTTGAATTTTTTCTCAAAGTGCCTCAATACAGGCTTTATTTAATCTGCATGATTAATGCTGTAATGCCAGCCAAAAGTGTTTAGCCATAATTTTCTTCCATGCTCCGTCCAGCCATTCATTTTCTCTCCAACATCCCCAGAGTGCCAGAAAAATCCCTGGAACATGTTGCAGAAACATACCAGGAGCAAAATGTGTGTAAAATGAATGTGTTGATGTATCTGTCTGTTCTCCATTGTTTAGAAACCCCCCAAAATATGATCCTGTCTGTTTTCAGTGCAATTTTACAATTGAAACCATGTACATCGAGTCACATACAGACAGATGAGAGAGACAAGTATGATTATTTTGGTGGCCACTGTGCCAGAAATGTCTTGTGCAATGTCTCGCCTGCCAAAATCAACTAAGACGAAAGTAGTGCTCTTGATATAAAACACACACACACACACACACACACACACACACACACACACACACACACACACACACACACACACACACACACACACACACACACACACACACACACACACACACACTTTTCTTATAATTTCCTTTAATCAGTAACTATCTTGAATTTGACTATACTTGGCTTTTCAAATGGTCGTAGAGAGAGAACAATTCACTAGGCTCACTCACTGAGGCTTGTTTACACCTGGTATTAAGGTGTTTATTATGCTAAATAGAGGTGTAAATGGGGTCCAGAACTATTTAAGCTTGATTTGCTCAACCAGAACCAGTTCCAGAGATATGAAAATGCACTCAGCCAGATTGCTTTCACAGTGTAAACACTCAGTTTTCGAATGCATTTAAATAACCCTAAATGACCACATATTCTCCTTACACTGACCTTTGAAAAAAGTAATGTTTATGAAATGTATTGTGACAAAGCCTTTCAAGTATTCACACTTTGCAATGTTGTACAAAAATTACACACAAAATGCAATTAAAATCATTGCTTTCCAGATTCTTTTCATTTACTAACTTTCTTTAGGTTCCGCTTAATCTAAGTTCAAGGCATGTCCTAAAAAGTTTTCTGTTGCTTTTAGACTACAATGAATGTCATGTTTTATCTGTCTTTAGTGCAATTAACCCCTTTTTAGGTGACCTATGCAGAACTTTGGTAACATTGTGGTCATTTTAATGTACTGTATAAGTAAACTGAACTTAAATGAACTTTTTAAGTATTTATACATAAAACAATGCTTTCCAAAACAATGTACAGCTTGATCACAAGTGCTTGCAGGAGATGCAATTTAATGTATGTTACCAGAATAAAATTTCTAATGCATCTCGCTTGTCATAGAATCACTGAAAATGCGTGTTGTGGGGATAGTTCATCCATAAATGAAAATTACCTCATCATTTTCTCCCCATCGTGTGTTTTAAACCGTTATGAACTTTCTTAGTGAGCAATGTATTTTGGTGCTCTTAGACAAAGCAGATTTATTAAACAGTCATCAAACATATTTAGAAATTGTAAGATAATACAAATAAATTCAAGCAAAATATTGCAAATAAAATTACAAACTACAAAATTTCAACAAAACATTTACATTTTTTTGCTTCTCTTGATTTTTTTCTCTGTTTTTAAATTTGTATTTAATATTTTTCTCTAACATATAAATTTGGGTGTACTAGTTTTTGGAGCATTATCATAAGTTATTTTGTTAGAAAAGCTCCAAATTTGGCTTCAGTACTGACTATTGACTAATCTAATGTATATGCACAAATATAATATTGTATAGCTTCCTATTAAAATTATGAATTTAAAAAACGAGATTTGTAAGAGGTGTACTTATATATAATGAGCACTGTTGATACAAAAGTTTGCAAATGAATTGAGTTCTTCCACCCACCCACTTAAACACACACACAAATTGGCTGCCAGGCATTTAGGAGGAGGCGGCTTGAGTGAGTCCAGAGAGTGAGCTCAACCATTATCTCACACACAGGCCTCCCCCACTGAGCCCTGTGTGTGTGTGTGTGTGTGTGTGTTTACTCTGATAGCATATAAGGTCTGTGCTCCATATCAAACATGTTTTAACAGGCTGTATGTCATTATCTGTTTATCTTAGGAATTCGGTCTCAGTGTGTCCCGTTGCTGTATATTTTCTTTATGCTATCAGTTTAGTATGTTTTTATTGTTTGACCTATTTCTGCAGAACTGTGTCTGCAGAGAACTCCACCTCAAGATTGTTGGTAATTGCTTTAGCTTTTTTTTTTATAGTGTTTGGAATATAAATCATATTCCAGAGATTTGATTATGACATCATACTCCCTCTCTCTCTGTGTGTGTGTGTGAACCTTATATTCATCACATTGTTGAGAACCAAATTTCCCCAGCCGTTTAGCAAAACCAGTGAATTCTGACCTTGTGGGGACATTTTTGTGGCTCCCATGAGGAAAATGGCTCATAAATTCTTTTGAAAATGTAAAACTGCAGAATGTTTTCTGTGAGGGTTGGTTTTAGGGGTGGGAAAGATATACTCTGCAGGTACAGGACGTCAACATGATGTCATTTTGACGTTGTGGGGTTTTTGGATTTGATTTGGAAATGAAAATCGGCTTGACATCAGAACCCAACGTCAGGCTGACCTTAATGTTCAACGTCCAACTTAAAATCAACCAAATACCAATGTCTAATTATGTTACACCATATGGTACTTATGTTACACCTCTATCAGATGTTAGATTTTGGTCACTTTCCAAAACAATCTAAAATTCAGCAAATATTAACCTAATTCGACGTCTTTATTGGATGTCCAAATAACATTGTTCTAAGACACTGGCTAGACATTGAATTTTGTTCACCTGATTTCATGACCTAAATCTAACCTAATATTAACATATTATGATGTTGTGTGCCTGCTGGGTATAGTATAAAGATTTCTATTACGTCTACGGGAAGTTCCCATGAAAATATAGTAGGCAAGTAAGAAGTGTATTTTATAATATGCAACTATAATGACAATACTTCATATCAAAATATGTCGTACAAACGTG